ATAAACTTTTGACTTATAAACTTGGGTCTATAAACTTTAGGTGTATAAACTTTAGATGTATAGAAATACTATATATAAAAAATATTTGGATTTAAATTTAAATTTAAATCAGATATATAAACTTTTGATTTAAGGGCCTGTAAACTTTAGATGTGTAAACTTGAAGTGTACAAACTTTAGGTGCATAAATTTACTAAAATAGAAAAGTAATGTGGTGCTAAAAAAAACCACGTGGAGGGTGGAGGAAAAGAGGGAGGAGACCCGATCGCCCCTGGCGATCAATCGTACATATATGCCCGCAGCTTGAGAATCTGTCTATATATGCGGGGTGACTGTTGTAGTTTGCGAGTTGGAAATGGATGTGTGAACGTTTTAGCCGCGCGATCGAATCGGATCCGTCCTGAACAAGCTGTAACTGATTACTAACGGAATTCCATTAGTTTAAGTGGTGCGAGCCGAAACCGAATCTGTCCCCAACTTCCCATGCATGCGAAATCGATGGCAAATAAAAACGCCGGGCGGCGTACGTGAGCCAAAGCTGAGCGCCGGAGTCAAGTTGAGCAATGGCGAGGTTGGTACGCCTCATCCATGCAAAGTACATTTTTGTTTTTATAGTTGATCAGCTTTGGCATAATCACATTGTAACGAACGAATTTAAGATGTACTCCCTCCGTCCAAAAAAAAAAAGCAAATCCTGGGTTTCCGTGTCCAACTTTAACTGTCCGTCTTATATGAATTTTTTTTATAATTCGTATTTTCATTGTTGTTAGATGATAAAACATGATTAATATTTTATGCGTGACTTGTCTTTTAATTTTTTTTAAATAAGACGGACGGTCAAACGTTGGGCACAGAAACCAGGGTTTATCTTTTTTTGGGACGGAGGGAGTACTCATTTCGGCACAGAGATAGTATTTTTAATGAGAATGGATTCTAATTTCTCAATGTGTTGTCCCCACGTTTAACCTTTTTTTTCTCAAAATCCGATGCAAATAATTGTGAAAATTCTTAAATAAATTGGTAATGTAGAGTATATACATATCTATCAGTTTTCCAAAAATCAAGTTAAAATTCAACCTACACAAAAAGAGAAAAAGAAAAGATAAATTCAGGTATGAGCAATGCGCTACTAGCTACTATTAATACGTTGAATTTGTTTATTTATATCTCAAAACTAGGTAACCCACGTATATGCGCGGACCTCTTCTTTAATGTGATTAAAATTTATTATGAATGTTTATGTGTGGCAGAATTTTTATTAAAAATTTTGTACTATATTTTAAACTAAAATTTCATTTAGTGTGCTTTGAACGCTGATCATAATTTTCTTCTAATTATCCATAATTAAAAGAAAATTATGACCAGCGTTCAAAGCACATTAAATAAGATTAATGAGATATTTTTGGATATTTTGAGTTTTGAATTTAGCAGTTAGGAGAAAATATTCAAAACAATGGATGGGGTTCCCTCTTAGAAAATTTTGGGTATTTCGAGTCCTAGAAGGATATCTTACCCCAAAAATTTGCCAAAAATGTCAAATTCTTTGTTTGATTCTATTTGAAATTTTAGATATTTTTGTTCCGAAAGTCCTTCTAAAATTTTTTATTGTTTCTATTTAGAAAGGGTTTTTAAATCCAACAACATTTGTTCAATCTTCAATTTAGGCCACGTCCATTTTTGTAAAAAAAATTGGAGACTTCCACTCTATAAATCATCCTTGAAATGATATGATCTTTGTAATTTGGCACAAAAATATAAGTAGGTTGAACATACAACCTGGCATGGGGCAAAAGCATCCGTCTAAATTTCTCTCTCCAATCAAGTAAGAAATATTAAAATAATTACCATAGTATTTTTCATTAGCAAATTACCACTAAATTGTAGTTGCTCATAACAAATACATGTTTTTAAATTGTTTTATGGTAAATGTCAGGAATTTACAATTAACTGTAGCATGTTCTAGCAAAATGAAAAAAAATGGATATGGTCTTTAATTAAATTCCATGTGGAAGTGACTTGATAGATTGATGAGGCCACCTCATGGTTGTTTTACTGCTAAGATTCCTGGTGCAACTCATACTTGGTACGATCGGTATGATGTTCAACTAACCATACTTTTATTTTGAACCAGTTGTCTATAAAAAATTAACACTATAAGGAATACACGTTATGGAAAAAATATATCATTTAAATATTTTTCTCTAATTTCTTAGTGACATCATCTTAAGATCATTTATCATGTGTGTAATTTAGATGCTATTATCATCTTAAGATCATTTATTTATCTATTAAAAAGATCATTTATTTATAAAAATATAATGGTCAATTTGTATAGGTAAATGGCCGCATATACATGTTGAGAGAAATTAATTAAGTTGGTAGAAAATCATCAGATATTTAATGTCATACAGGTAATACGGAGGTCTTTTTTGGTCTTCCTTTTTTTCCCCATTAGGATAGTGTTAATTTTAATTGTTATGGAGTTGAAAAGAAAAGAGAAAAGGAACGGACGGCGGATGCTGCATAGGGGCAGGGATGGAGGGAGGTTTTGGATATTTTTTAAAAAAAAGATTGATGTAATGATCTAAAATAATATGTCTAGGATATTTTCTCTAATTTGAGAGAATGACGTTACAGTTTGGAAGTCACAGTCCAAAGCTAACATGGTCAACATGTGGCTGCCAACTTGGACCGGCAAGCCAACCCCGAGCCACCGAGGCACAGCGTTGGCGGGCCAGGCAAGCCGTAGGCAGCCCCCGTGGCCTGGCATGCTTCAGCCCTTTCATCCTTCCCTAATGGACAGGAAATAGGAATAAGTTCACAAGAGGTCCCTCAACTTAACAACGAGATTTTTTAAGGTCCCTTAACCACAAAACCAGAAATGTTTACCCCTAAACTCATATAAACCGTGCACTCAAGGTCCTATGGCAGTATATATAGGTGGTTTCGCTGACGTGGCATCCTAGTCAGCAAAAATATTAAAAAAAAGTATGTGGGGTCCACATGTCAGTTGTACATATCTTTTCTTCTTGTTTTCTTCTCCTCTTCTGTATTCTCTCTTCGCTCTTCTCTTATTCAGGCCGGCAGAGAGCGGAGAGCCGGCGGGCAAGCGCGGATGTGGGCGGCGGGCTACTCTCCGACCACCGCGCGCCCTTGTTCTCCCTCCTCCGCCGCTGGGACGACGAGCTTCGGACCAAGATCAAGAACCACCTCCTCGCGCTCGGATGGACCATCACCTCCAAGCCCAACCTCCCTGGCCTCGCGCCCAGGCTCCACTACGTCTCCCCCGCCAGAAGCAAGTCCTACTACTCCCTCCGCCGCCTCATCCAGACCATCCACCTCCACCACCACCATGCTGCTACCCAATCCTAATCTCAATCTCAATCTGAGTCTTGGGCCCCTCTTCTTGAGGAATCGGATGACGACCAATACCAACAAGAAGCAGATGAAGATGCCATCGCGGGGTACATTGCCTTCATGGAGGAGCAGAATGCCAGGCGCGGCCGCGGGCAGGGAAATGATGAGGAGCAGAGGTCCATGGCCAAGGAGCTTCGGATCAAGGCTAAGGACCAGCTCAGGTCGTTGTGGTGGACATTCTCGATGAAGGTCAAGTACAACGGTCGCGAGGAACTGTGCTACACAGAGCCGCGTGGCCGCTCCCACATCTCCCTCATCACCGCCTGCAAAGCCTACCTTCTTCACCACACGCCCTCGACAACAATGCAGACTTCAAGCATAAACAAAAAAAAAGAGATGGTGAAATGCAGACTTCACCACATGCATGTGCGGCGGCTGCAACAATAAGAGGGCCGCAGCAGAGTACACGGTGGCCGAGTTCGCTGTGCACGGCGACGGTGATGGTCCCTCCACCTCCGGCCACCTCCGCCGCCCGCGGCCTGCCGACTCCCCCTCCCCCCCACCGCTCCCGCCGCCGACGACGCCCTCCCCTTCTTTGCGTCGCCGCCACCGGCAGTCGAACCTCTCGTGACCCGTGGGTCGTGGCTCCGCGCACGCCCGCCGCTCTGTCGTCCGCAGCCCGCCGCCGCGCTCGCCCACCGCCGCTCCGCCGGTGAAGAGAAAAGTGAAGAGGAGAAGAAGAAAAGCGAAGAGGAGGAGAAGAAAACATCTATGAAGCTGACATATGGGCCTCATATATTTTTTTTAATTTTTTTTTCTAACTAGGATGCCACGTCGGCGAAACCACCCACGTATGTTGTCATGGGACCTTAAGTGCACGGTTTGTGTAAGTTTAGGGGTACATATTTCTGTTTTTGTGGTTAAAGGATTTAAAAAAATCTGTTGTTAAGTTAAGGGACCTTCGTGAGCTTATTCCCAGGAAATATCAACCCACAAATCCGAGGCCTCTCCCTCTCTCCTTCGCTCCAAGGCCTAGGTCGATGGACCGGCCCAACTTCCCAAGCTCACTGGCGCTTTTTCCCTCAGTTGAGTCTACAGTGCCTCCCGTATCCCATTTCAACTTACCTTTTGGCCCACCTGTCATAGAATAATAAATTGTGTTCCTCTGTTTACAATTGACATCTCAACATCATTTTTAAAAATTTGAGATTTCAACTTTTTTTAAAAAGAAAAAATGGACTGTTTACATTAAGATTTAAAGTTCTTGCAAGCTGTCATAAAAATTAAAAATATTTTTAAACTTTGGTAATGATAATGATGTTAAAAATAAAGTTTTAGCTTAAAATACAACTTGTATAAATAGTAAAATAAAGAGAAAAAAATATTAAGGTGCAAAGTGAACCATTTACAACTTGTATAAATACCTTTTGTTTTTTGGTATAATAGTACTCCCTCCGTCCCTAAATGTTTGACGCCGTTGACTTTTTTAAACATGTTTGACCGTTCGTCTTATTCAAAAAATTTAAGTAATTATTAATTCTTTTCCTATCATTTGATTCATTGTTAAATATAATTTTATATATACATATAGTTTTACATATTTTACAAGAGTTTTTGAATAAGACGAACGATCAAACATATTTAAAAAAGCCAACGGCGTCAAACATTTAAGATGTTTAAGGACAGAGGGAGTAGTTGGTTTGAAAGTTTGGGCGATTATGTGGAGTTACTCCATTCAGAAATTCAATCACTCGTGGCTATCCGCTATGCATGTTGATACTATATATATTCGCTCGAACAATTCACACCACACTCAAAATCTCAAATCAACAGATGTTCTCAAGATTTCGATCAAGCATCTCCAGCCCCATCTTCATTGGCCTCGTTGGTCGATTGCCGCCGTCCCGCGGCCCAGCGACCGAGCAGTCCTCTGATATCCCACTCCAAATCCCTCAGGCGTAGCAACAGGTACAGCACGATTCCGGAGATGAAGCCCAGCGCGGCGCTCGAGCCTGTGAGCGACACGCCGGCGCAGACCAGCATGACGAACGACTCCTGCTTGCTCCCCATGTCGCGCGACGCCATGGCGAGCTCGATCCCGGAGAAGAGCAGCATGACGCCCAGTATCCCGATCGGGAACTGCCCCAGGATCGTCACGAACGAGTTGCCGAACACCAGCCCGAGCGCCAGCTTGCCGATGGCCAGGAACACCACGGACGCGCCGGTCCGGCCGCCGAACCGGTACTGCCCCGCCAGCCCGCCCGCGCCGTGGCAGCACGGCATGGCGCCGAACCAGCACCCCACGAAATTCATGAGCCCCACGCTCACCGACACCCGCGCCGGCGAGAGCTCGGCCCGTTCCGGGAACAGGTCCGACGACAGCTTGCACACGGCGATCACCGAGTTCAGCACGGACAGCGGGAGCTGCGGCACGGCGCCCTCCCAGAACCCGATCTTGAAATCGTCCCAGGTTATCTTGACCAGCCCCAACGGCGCCGGCCCAAAGCGGAGATCCTGCAGGATGGACGGATCACGAACGAAGCAGAGCACCAAGCCGAGCGCGAACACGATTAGCGCCGCCGGGACGCGGCTGCAGGAGCGACGGCGACGGCTCGTGCCGTCCCTGTTGACGTCCTCGTCGTCGCCGGAGCCGGTGGCGAGGATTATGAACAGTAGCGCGGCGAGCGCGAGGACAAGGCCGTCGAGGCCGAGGAGGGGGCGCGGCACGGAGGTGGAAGCAGAGGAGGAACGGGAGAAGTCCTGCACGTAGCGGATGTACTTGACGGCGGTGAAGGCGAAGGAGAGGCCCTGCGAGAGCTGGACGCCGCGCACGACGGGGAGCGGGAGGAGGCGGTAGAGGGTGGTCATGAGGCCGGTGACGCCGAGGAAGAGGAGGATGGCGGCGACGGCGAGGCCAGCGGACATGATCTGCGGGATGGTGAGGTGCGCGGAGGAGAGCGCGACGGCGGCGATGGACTTCATGGGCTGGACGGGCATGGGGATGCCGAAGAGGAGCCCGGTGGCGAAGTTGTAGAGCGCGGTGAAGATGAGCGTGGTGCCGAGGTCGAGGTGGGACGCGAGCGACAGCGCCAGCACGATGGGGATGTAGGTGCCCAGATCGCCCACCGCGCCGCCCAGCTCCGACCACACCGACGTCTTGAGCCGTATGGTGGACGGGACGAACCTGCGGCGGCCGTCGCCGGCCTCGCCGGAGAGGAGCGGGTCGCCGGCGGAGGATGCCATGGGTGGGAAACTCGAAAGCAACGACTTCCTTTTGCCTAGCGATGTTGTTAGCTTGCACACGTTTCTGACCGGTGGAATGAGCGAATAAAAATACTAATGTCTCTCTCGAGGCTTAATTAAGATGCGATCCAGATTTCCGTAGTGGCAGAGTCCAGTGAACTCAAGTTTGATCCACACTATCCGTAATTGGGCGTTAATTCCTACCTAACCTTAAATAGTCGATGTCACTGTCAGGGATGGTATATGCTTAAAGATTATGGAGGCCAGCTACTGCACGAGATACCACCCAAAGATCTCAGTTCAGATTGGGTAATTTACCGTGTTTAAATATTCTTGAAACTGCGAAGTGCGAACCATATGGCTTTGGCTTTTACTTGACCAAAAACATAATGATGGTCAAATATTATCCATTATTTTAGAATATATTCTGAAACTATGAACCTTGATTCAATTGGGCTTTAGTTGACGGAAATTACACTCGCTTATAGCCAAATATTGCCAGTTTTATATCGAGAATAACTTCTTTTTTCTTTCCAAACTATCTTTACTGTGTTTTTGTTGTGACTTTTGGCGTGATGTAGGGACGGGACAAACAATATCATGGATGATGCATTCTGCACGTACGTCTTCGCAAGATGGATAGCTTCCAACGAGAATAATGGCCGCGACAAGGATGTCAAGTGACATTCTGGCCTTCTGGGTGACGACGGGGTATGAGGATATTTCCCTCTTCGGCCCATGATAAAGGTGGACACTTCAGCGGACAACATTGTTTGCGTGGTCACTTGGAAACCTTTTGTACTACCATACAAATCACAAATGCTTTTGTAAAGAAATGATGTAGACACGGTGAAAATATCTTTCACAAACCTGCTTATCTCAAACGATTCCGCGGTATCCAGTACTCCCTTCCGTTTCACAATGTAAGTCATTCTAGTATTTTCCACATTCATATTGATGCTAATAAATCTAGACATATATATCTATTTAGATTCATTAGTATTAATATAAATGTGGAAAATGGTAGAATGACTTATATTGTGAAACGGAGGAAGTACCATTTTGTTACGAAAATATATCTATTGCGGAATAACTTGGCATCTAAAAACTTGCTATATTGTTAACACTACTTGTTGTAAGTAATCTGTTGAGTTTCTTTCTCCTTGTAATGAAATAGGTAATCTATAGCAATAGTCCATTCAATAATATATGTTTATCCGGTTTGAGGATTCTGGAAATGTGGAAGGCTGTTATCAATGGCAAACCCAACACTAAATTTTAGCTATGACGGATTAATATACTAGGATGAGGCGTATTATACTTTCAGTTAGTGAAATATTTTTTTATGCGCAAACTATACTACAATCGTGCTTTCCATTGGTGAAATATTTTTTTATACACAAACTATACTACAATTGTACTACAATGAACAACTATAATGGAAAATTTTGCATGTAATATTTTTACCAATAAAGTAATTTTCGTGAGAGTGTTATACAGGTGTGTTTGCTCGTATTTCTATTATTTTCTTTAGTCCGGCTGTGCCTTTGGTTTAGAACATTAGAAAATTAGGCCGATAAAGGCATTAAATTAGTGTCCAACTAACCTATTAATCAAATTACTAGCATCTGAAATCAACGCCCAAATGTCCAACGCCAGGTCGCAAACTCACCTTGGTTGTGGGGCATAGCTATGGACAGTGCCTTGGCAATGGCCACGAGAAGATCCGTCACTGGATGTTATTGGAGCTAACGGGGTAAATCAGACTACTCCAATAGTTCAGAAACTGGAGTAATTCGGTTAGCAAATTATATTTCTTTAATTAATAACATGGAAATAGAAGGGGTCATATATGTAGAACAAGAAATACAAGATTTTTCAGAATCGATGCAAAAAGCCCCTAAAAAGGCCAAAACGATCAGCCGAGCTCTCCTTTCCGCGCTGTAACTGCAATGCAGCGTTCAGGCTATCTTCTTTCGGGCCTTCCCACTATCCTAACTCACAAGCCGTTGGTAGTTCCCTTGATCGCTTCCAATAGTCGCGGGCTGCTAGCTCCGTCAAGCGTCAACCAACCGCTGTTTAGTCTGCTCCTCATGCCATGCGTTACCTCTACTTCCACGGCAACGCAAGCCAGGCTCGGCCTATCCGCCACCACCTCCTCGCCTACCTCGACGCCTGCGCCTCGCGGGCCCACCTGGCGGAGCTCCACGGCCGGCTCGTCCGGGCCCACCTCACCTCCGACAGCTTCGTCGCCGGCCGGCTCATCGCCCTCCTCGCGTCCCCCGCGGCGAGGCATGACATGCGGTACGCGCGCAAGGTGTTCGACGGAATGGCCCAACCGAACGCGTTCGTGTGGAACTGCATGATTAGAGGGTACAGCAGCTGCGAAGCCCCCCGGGATGCATTGGCGGTGTTCAGGGAAATGCGTCGGAGGGGAGTCTCTCCTGATAATTACACTATGGCAGCGGTCGTGTCGGCGAGTGCTGCCTTTGCTGGCTTGAAGTGGCGGTCAAATGGGGACGCAATTCATGCGCTGGTTCGGAGGATTGGGTTTACATCGGATGTGTTCGTCATGTCAGGTCTTGTTAATTATTATGGTGCCTTTAGAAGTGTTGAGGAAGCAAGCAAGGTTTTCGAGGAAATGTATGAGAGGGACGTGGTGTCTTGGACGTCAATGATATCAGCTTGTGCACAGTGTGGTCACTGGGACAAAGTGCTAAAGATGCTTTCTGAGATGCAAGCAGAAGGAATTATTCCTAACAAGGTCACGATTATAAGCCTGCTTTCTGCTTGTGGCCAAACACAGGCTGTTGATGAAGGCCGGTGGGTGTACAATCAGGTTGGTAAATTTGGTATCGAGGCAGATGTGGATATCAGGAATGCTCTCATAAGCATGTACACGAAATGTGGATGCTTGTCTGATGCTTTAGAAGCATTTCAAGCCATGCCTGCAAGATATACTAAATCATGGAATACGTTGATCGATGGCTTTGTGCAAAATCATGAGCACAAAGAAGCGCTAAGAATATTTGAAGAGATGCTGTTGCATGGCGTAACTCCAGATGGTATAACGCTTGTAAGTGTCTTATCAGCATGTGCTCAACTTGGTGAGTTGCGGAAAGGCATGCATGTTCACAGTTATATCAAAGATAATGGGATCTGTTGTGACAATATCCTTACAAATTCTTTGATCAACATGTATGCCAAATGTGGTGATATGGCTGCAGCTGAAAGGGTTTTTCAAACTATGACAAAAAAGGATGTTGTTTCCTGGACAGTTATGGTTTGTGGTTATGTGAAGGGACATCAATTTACAATGGCCTTCAACCTATTTGAAGAAATGAAGATTGCAGAAGTCGTGGCACATGAAATGGCACTGGTTAGTCTACTTTCTGCTTGTTCACAGCTGGGAGCACTTGATAAAGGAAGAGAGATACACTCTTATATAGAAGAGATGAATGTAGCCAAAGATTTGTGCCTAGAAAGTGCCCTGGTGGATATGTATGCAAAATGTGGCTGCATTGACACTGCTTCTGAAATATTTAGAAAAATGCAGCATAAGCAGACCCTCTCATGGAATGCCATGATTGGAGGTCTTGCAAGCAATGGTTATGGAAAAGAAGCAGTGGAGCTCTTTGATCAAATGCTGGAGTTACAGGATCCAAAACCGGACGGCATTACTCTTAAGGCAGTTCTTGGTGCCTGTGCACATGTAGGAATGGTTGATGAAGGTCTCCGTTACTTCTATTTGATGTCAAGCCTTGGTGTTGTCCCTGATACTGAGCACTATGGTTGCATAGTAGACCTCCTGGGGAGAGCTGGTATGTTAGACGAGGCATTTCACTTTATCAAGAAGATGCCAATAGAACCCAATCCTGTAATTTGGGGATCACTTCTTGCTGCTTGTAGAGTTCATCACAGAATGGATCTAGGAAAGGTAATTGGACAGCATATCGTTAACGTAGCTCCTAATGATGTGGGAGTGCATGTGCTCGTTTCAAACTTACATGCTGAAGAAAGTCAATGGGATGATGTCGAACATGTTAGAGGACTAATGGGAAGCAGAGGTATAGAGAAGACACCTGGACACAGTTCTGTCCAGGTATAAACCTTCAGAGTTCAGACTATGTAAACTTCACTTGAATACATGATCTACCATTGAGTAAAATATAGAAAGTTTGCAGGAGCAAATGTAAGTATGTAACTATTCAGTTTCAGTTTTCTTCAAAAAAAATAAATAAAGAAGTAAACTATTCAGTTTCAGTTTTACAAGATGTCAGGCATGGCATGACCAAACTTCACTATCTACAGGACATGATTTCTGTCTCAATATCAAATGTCTAAAGCAGGATCTAAAAGTTCTCAGGTTAACTTCTGCTGTTGAGCATAGTCTATAGCATGGCCTACAGAATGTTTGGTTGCATTACTGAACTGTGCTTTACAAACCCTGTGTGATACTATCTGTTCTGGCGTCAAAGGTCATACCAACATTTTAGTTGCCCACTGAAGGCTTATGAAATTGTGCTAACTGGTACTCATCAGTCTTTATACTTCATATGTTTGCGAACTCATCTATTGTCTTTTCCTAGCTACCATTTCTAACTGAATGGCTAACTGGTAGATTACTTGCAGGGCCACGGCTGTAGCCGGGTAAGACAATAATGCCTACATGTGGGTATGCTGCGTGCCTGCGTGACTGCTGATCTCCGTGCTGAATCCTTGGCCAGCCAGCCACAGGTGAAAAAGAGAGGCACAAATGTGCATTTAAGTAGCTGTAGTTACTAACGTATATCGGGAGAGAAACAACAACAAAGCCAGTATTTAATTTCTGCATCCATATAATCACATTTTCTCTACTCTTGCACACTGGTGATAGTTCTGCTTTTAAAACTGTTGAAGGCAAATTTCAGCAAATGTTCAGAATATTGGACGATAGTAAATCAGCACTAGCCACTAACCCAGTTTTTACATAGAGAACTTTTTCAGTATTTGAAGAATGATTGAACGAAGAAGTTCAAACATAGAGAACTTATTAATTACTACCTCCTTTTCAAAATGTGTGATGCCGTTGACTTTTCGCATAACGTTTGTCCATTCGTCTTATTAAAAAAAATTGTATAAATATCATTTGTCTTATTGTGACTCAATTATAACTTATACTTTTACATATCAATGGCATCATACATTTTGAAATGAAGGAGATATTTGAAGAATGACTGAACGAAGCAGTTTAATGTGAACTCGCATTTTCTAGATGGAGTCATACGAAGAAACAAAATAATATACTTAGTAGAAAATATGGCCCATTTAATTAACTGTATTTACTGAAGTGTACTGTACCTGTAGAGAAACAACAGCAAAGTCAGGATTTACCTTCTGCATCCATTTTCTCTAATCTTGCACACTGGCCATAATTCTACTTTTACCTGTTAGAGTGAGAAGTGCTGCTGAAGGCAAAATTACAGGAAATGTTCATAATATTGGATAATAGCTCGTCAGTACCAGTATAAAACATTTTAGGTTTGTCCTAAGTTAAACTTTTTGATCAATTCTATAGAAAAATATAGCAGCATTCCATTATTCCATATAATAAAACAAATATAATATCAAAATATATTCAATGGTGAACTTATATGACAAAACCAAAATGTCTTAATTTCTTTGATGTAGTTTGAATGGTGATAATTCTACTTTTATCTGTTTAGTGGAAAGCGCTGCATGAGGCGAATTTTAGCAATGTTAAGAACATTGGACAATAGTACTGGGAAATAGCTCACAAACTAGTTTTGACATTCTTTTTAGATGGAGTTTGAATGCAGCCATACGATTCAGATGGATTTTAAATGCAGTCATACGAAAAATAAGAAAATGGATGGAATTTAAATGTGGTTATCGGAAAAAATGGAGTTTGAATGCAGCCATACGATTCAGATGGATTTTAAATGCAGTCATACGAAAAATAAGAAAATAGATGGAATTTAAATGTGGTTATCGGAAAAAGGAAAAACATACGATTCAGATGGATTTTAAATGCAGTCATACGAAAAATAAGAAAATAGATGGAATTTATATGTGGTTATCGGAAAAAGGAAAAGGTATGATTTTAAATGCAGTCATACGAAAAATAAGAAAATAGATGGAATTTTGTGGTTATCGGAAAAAGGAAAAAGTATGATTTTAAATGCAGTCATACGAAAAATAAGAAAATAGATGGAATTTAAATGTGGTTATCGGAAAAAGGAAAAAGTAAGAAAATAGATGGAATTTAAATGTGGTTATCGGAAAAAGGAAAAAGTATGGCCCATGCAGGTCTCGAACCTGCGACCTTCGCGTTATTAGCACGACGCTCTAACCAGCTGAGCTAATAGGCCATCTGATCAAAACGTCTTTAACACAGTAGAAATAAATATGTACTCCCTCGAAATGTTGACATTATTGACTTTTTAGCGTTCATCTTATTAAAAAAATAAGTAATTATTAATTCTTTTTCTATCATTTGATTCATTGTTAAATATATTTTTATGTAGGCATATAATTTTACATATTTCACAAAAGTTTTTAAATAAAATGAACGGTTAAACATGTGCTAAAAAGTCAACGGCGTCGAGCATTTTAAAACGGAAGGAGTAATTAATTTCTAGCATGCCTCATGATTGCCTAAAATTTCTCCTCCGCCACGCCTGCCGCCTGGGCTCATTCCACTAGTGATACTGGATTACTAGCCTGAACGCAGGAGATCGGCGGTCACCCCGATTTGTTTCGATACCTACAAACTTACAATGGTGGATCACCCACTTCGTACTTTCCCGATCTCTTCTCACCATGTCGAGCGAGTTTCCTATTTCACCGCAACACCTACTATCGAAAAGCAATCGTTTTTCCTACCCGAAGGTTCCCGCAGCAATCCCATCCGCGCTGCGAACCAGCGACTGCGGACGCGCGCCACGCGCCCACGCTTCAACAACGTACCCGCGATCACACGGGCGGCCGGCCGCGCGACACAGCACGTGCCGCCCGGTGGTCCGCACTCCGCGCGGGCGGAGCACGTGACGTGAGAGCGCGCGCGGGGGAGGGACACCGGCCTCGGCTGACATGCGCACGCGCTGCGCCGAGCCAAGCCACCCGTCCGTCCGCCATGCGCCTGCCGGTCGGGGAGCGCAGCTCGCTGATCGCCCCCTCGCTCGGGCACGTGAACTCGTACGCCGCGGTGGACTGGTGGTCCGTCCGCTGACTCCTGCCGACGCCAACTAGCTTGCCTCCTCGCTGCAGGACTGCAGCATAGTAGTCGGTAGGCTGCTACGAGCAAGTCGCGATGTTGTCGAGTCGTGGTAATGCAGACGTGCACGTCGGTTTGCCTAGTTGAGCTGACAGGTTTTATACGACTCTCTCTCTCTCTCTCTCTCTCTCTCTCTCTCTCTCTCTCTCTCCACACGGTTGTGACTAGTGTGCATCCAATGGTACAGTAGTTTGGAGTGGAGACCCATACACCGAGGAATATACGATTCCTTTTCACGTAACCCCACGCCACGTCGCCACAGCCCCCGTACTGTGTATCCGCGAAAGCTAGCAAAATGTATCTTTTGCCGAACTGCAGCAGCAGCTCCAATTAAACCTTGTATTCAATTGTTCTTCTTACTAAGGGAAAAGTACGCAGAAGATACTCAACTTATCATCGGGATAAAAAACGTCCTTAAACCATAAAATCAGATATATAGGGTCCCTTAACTATATAAAACCGGTTACCCGAGATCCTTCGGTGGTTTTGACCCCGGTTTTGATCTACGTGGCAGCTGAGTCAGCGTGGGACCCACGTGGGCCCCACATGTCAGGTGACCACACCACCCCCTCTCTCTCTCTTTCCCCTTTCTCTTTCTTTTTTTCTGTTTCTCTCCTTCCTTCCTCTCGCTCTCTGCTCTCACACTCGCAGGGCATGGGGATGCCGACGCTAGGGCGCCCACAGTGGCGCGCGCGGGCAGAGGATGGTGCGGCCGGCGACGGCGGCTCCTAGGGCGGCTCGAGCTTCCCCCTGGCGGCACACAAGCTCAGGGAGGGAGCATCGAGAACCAATCCCGCAGCAGCCTCCACCTGCTCATGGTCCAGCACGACGACGTCCTCGCCGCGGATCTCCTCGCCGTGCTCGCTGTGGACCTCCCCGCCTAGCGCCGCCACACCTCTTTGTCATGGGCCGCTACCTCGGCGGCGTCGACGCGTACACCAAGCTCGCCGAGAGCGGCAAGCTGCCGGTGATGGCGAATAGGTTGGGGGGAGGGGCTGATGCAGGAGCTCGCTAGTGGGGTCCGGCTGCTCATGGACCCCGCATGGACAACGCCGCGGAGGTGGCCAAGAGGGAGAAGCGGGGGCATTCTGTCGATGCGGCGGTGGAGGAGGAGGAGGACGCCAGCCACCACAACGCGGCGGGATCCGGCGGGGATGAGGGGGACGAGGAGGAGAGGATCTCGTCGGGAGGAATGGGCGCGAGGCACGCCGACGACCACCGGGAGAAGCGGGGAACACCGACGCCGACGACCACCATGCCCGTCGCTAGGGGGCTGCCACCTCCACAACCTCCGCCTCCGCCATCGCCGCCTACTGGCTGCCGCTCCCTATCCGTCGCCCGCCGCGCGCTCGCCCGCCTGCCGCCACCGCCACTCCGCGCCTCCACTCCACTCCGCTTCGTCGGCTCCTGCACTCGCACACTGCCTCCGTCGGCCGCCCTCGTGGCGCCGCCCTTCTTCTCTCCCGCCTCGGCCCCGCCAGCTTGCAGAGAAGTGTGAGAGAGAGAGATGAGGAAGGGAGAGAAGAGGCGAAAGAGGGAGAGGAGGCTAACGTGGATAAACCTGACATGTGGGGGGGGCACGATAACTCAACCGCCACGTAGACCAAAACTGGGGTCAAATCCACCAAAGGACCTCAGGTGACCGGTTTTGTATAGTTAAGGGACATCGCATATCTGGTTTTGCGGTTCGAGGATGTTTTTTATCCCGATGACAAGTTGAGGGACCTGCGGTGTACTTTTTCCTCTTACTAACGAGGCCTACGCCCAGTCCTGGCCCAGCATCAGAATAGCAAGCCCGATACCTTTGCCAGCCCAGACTTATGTGTGAATTTAGGCCCAAAACAAGTCAGTCTTTTCGCCCGCTGAAATTGCTCAGGTCTACTAGCAACTTGGGAAGGGCGTCATTAGATCGAGGATGGTGGCAGTATTAACAAGGGTTTTGACGGCGCCTTCTCTTATGTCTCTTTGTATAATTGTACTCCTACTATTAACAAAGATATGCCAAGTATATTAATTAATCAGTTGGAATATCCAAATTGCATCTGAAAAATATATGCCAAGTATACTCCCATATCGGCGAGAGAGATAGATGGACAGGAAACTCTTCATCAGATGGTAAGTTCAAAAGTTCCATGCCATTCAGATTTTCATATTTGCGATTTACGATCGATCCCCTTAATCAAACTAACCCTCCCGCGATTTACAAACACACGCTGCTACCATCCCGAGCCCCACTGCTTTTACCATTGCTGCTGCCGCTGTTGTTACTGTCACTGCCGCTGCTACCGCTAACGTTGCTGTTACTGTTGTTGTTATTGTCGCCGCCGCCGTCCCCGGCGGCTTCCCAGGCGGACGCCGAGAACAGCGGCCGCCCGTGCCAGCCGAGGGTGAGGCACCCGTCGGCCTCCTCGACGCTGTGCCCCTCGCCGGAGAACAGCCCGACCAGCATCCTCGCCTGCCGCAGCGCGTTCGAACCGAGCGGCACGGCGCTCAGGCCGGCGCGCGTGAGCCTGTCCCGCCACCGAGACAGCGGCTCGTGCCGTTCCCTCCGGGCGGCGCCCTCCCCGCACACGATGTCGCAGATCTCCCTCTGGAGGTACGCCTCCGCCATCGCGTTGCCCGCGCCGCCGCTGGCGCTCGCCGCGTCCAGCGAGTCGAACACCGCGGAGTAGTAGAACAGCGCCTCCGTGAACCTGTCGAGGAAGCCCGTCTTGTTGTGGTCGGCCTCTTGCTCGATGACCGTGAAGATCTTGGGCCGGACGGAGGCGACACAGTCGAGAACGGCGTCGATGGGCGCCTGATCGGCCGGGTCGCCGAGGAGGCGGTGGAGCTGCAGCACGGAGTTGAACGCGACGGCCTCCCCGGGCGCGATCTGGAGCATCCACGGGCGGACCTCGTCGAGGCTGTTCGCAGCGACCCCGCGGAAGGAGAAGCGGACGCGGACGGAGCGCGCGAGGTCGGCGAGTCGGAGGCCGACATCGCGCAGCTCGTCGCGGCCGGTAGGTGAGGGCGGGCCAATGCCGGTGATCCGGAGGAACGGCGGGCCGCCTGGTCGGAGGGCGAGGGCTTGGATCAAGGCCGGCCACTGCAGGCCCTGCATGAGGCTGAAGTCGATGACATGGACGTGGTCGCACCCATGGAAGGCCTCGAGGATGGCCTGGTTCGCCGTGAAGTGCGCGAACTTGAGGTAGGGACACGCCTCGTAGAAGTGATGGTAGAGGAAGGCGTGCTCGGCGTCGGTGGTAGGCGGAGCGACGGGCGAAGGGAACAATCTCCGGGAGAGCGCGGTGGTGAAGTGGACGGCAACGCGGCCGATGCCGGAGGCGGCCGAGACGGCCGCAAGCGCGGCGTGCGAGTCGGCGAGCTGCGCGGACGCGAGCGCGTGGTCACCAGCCTCGATGGCGCCCGCGCAGCTCATCAGAAGATGAACCAAGCGGATGCCCGCGACCTCCTCCTCCTCCCGCCGCATGGCCAACACAGCAGCGGCAGCATCAGGCGCGCACGGCGGGAAGGCCGCGGCGAACTCCGGCAGAGCAGCGGCGTCCACATCCGCCCCCGCAGGCGGGTCGTAGTACCCCACGCCGTCGTCGGGCGCCACAGCCGCTGGAGGCGGCAGAAACCCAGCGTCGAGGCCGGATGACGCGGCTGGATCCATGGGCCACTGGAACGGGAAGGTATCCATGGCCATACTAACTCAAAGAGTAGTCTAGTCTCACCGCTTCGCACTCGGCGAGCGGTGCGTGTGCAGCGGGGGGAATTGTAGCGGTGGATACAAGAGTATAGAGCGGAGCGTCAGCTAGGAGGGAGTAGGAGTCGGTCGGAGGAGGGAGAGGAGGGGGAAGAGGTTGAGGGCGAGTGACGTTGGCGGGGGGTGCACACGTGGAGATGCGGGAGGGGACACGTAGGCCTCGGGAAGGAAGGATTCCGGGTGCGAGGCGGGGCGGGAGGCCCGAGGAACCGCCGTGGGGTGGGGATGCTGCCCCCCGCCTTCTGTCAATTCCTGTTTTCTGATTTTGTCCGTGGGGGGGATCTCGGAGTTTGGAATCCTGTACAAAACTACAGAAAACTTCGTGACGGAGAGAGAGCGAGGCAGGAATAGGCCATTCAAGCACGAACTTTGTTGAGATTTTGTAGTGAAACCACTCGAATTTTACATACAAACAGGATCCTATGTCCATGTCTGACGTGAAATGTTCAATCGCTAGCAGTAATTTCTTGGTAGCGTTAGAGTGTTTCAAATGAAGTGCTATTTTTTTTTTTACGTGCCATGGAGCTTATTCATGGCGCGGTAGCAATCCAACAGAATATGTTAGTCAAGCTACCAAACGATACGGTAGCCTGAAGGTAATTGTCTGAGACAAAAAAAAACTAGTACTGCCTCTATCTAAAAGTTTAATACATATTTCATTTTTTAGTTTTTAAATAAATTGGACATATTTACTCTGTGTGCTGAATTAAATTGTTAGTCGAAATCTAATGAGTTGGCTTAATACTCATCGGTTACATGTATGTATATAGTTCGTTGGTTTTGTCACATTGATGAATGAGTTAATTTCTTCTTAATTTTGATTATAAAAGAAATACTCCCTCCGTACTCGTAAAGAAAGTTGTTTAGTACAATGTTTAAGTCAAACCTTAGGAATATAAATCATGAATAACTCTCAAATTGTTGAGTTTGAAAATGTAAAAATTATATAAATAGATTTGTCTTGAAAAATACTTTCAAAAAAGAATACATATATCACTTTTAAATAAATATTTTTATAGGAAAAAGATGTTAAAGTTGTGTTTTGGAGACCGTGTCGCTGTCCAAAACGACTTCCTTTACGAGTACGGAGGGAGTATACCTTAAACTTTTGGGTAGGGTTTGCGTGCGTGCGTCCATAGGGGTGAGTGCGCGTGCGTTGTGAGTGTCTGCGTTGTACTGTGTAATTCTCATAAAAAATATTTGTGGAGAAATGGTGCTAAATACTTGTATGAGGAAATTACACCATGGGGCTGGAATATGCCTCATGCGAATCATAAACTGGATATTTGGATAGCTAACAAGTGTAAGGAGAAGTGTTCAGCCTCAAATTATTTATTTATAAAGCTTAGATATTTTTGTCACAGGATGTTATTAGTACACACCTAGTATATCTGATTGTTAGGACTATACATTTTTGTTCTTGTGATGAGACTTTGGCTTGGAGTTGTCAGTCCACTGATTAAATTGTACACAATATGTACCTTTCCATAGGAAACGCAACTGATTGATCAATTCAATTGTATGTGTTGTCCTTTTCATGCTACATAATCGACATCTCAAACAACTTGATCGTAGTTCTATCAAACAACTAACTAAAAAAAGAAATCACACACTCTACATTTGTGAAAAAATATCGGCCCGGCGAAAACTTTTGTGAAAAAATATGTATATACATAGTACACAATAATTTACCTTTCCTTGTCAATTGTGGCCCATTACCATCATTTTTTTTTCTAGTTAGACATTTGCACTTTCCCGTATGACATAATAATATGCCAATTTCTTCGAAATAACTTCATCGCATTTTAATTGTGCCATATTTTTCTTTTACAGATGTCCCATAATATATATAAAACGGCGATCAAAGTTGTCATAAAATGCTCCTACTTTTGGCTGGATGAGTGCACATATCTTTCTGTGTACATAAATACATCATTTCAGAAAACGAAAGTAAGACTGCAACATTACGAACCTCAAATGGAAGTTTGAAGACTACACAAGGCAGTTGCTGGAGCCCCCACACCTGTGTTGATAGTGAGATATGTAAGCAAAGAGTATGGTTTTACCTCATTAAGCACAGACAAAAATTGCTGGGTGCCCCACGGTTGCTACCCCGGAGAAATTTCCTTGTTGCTGTAACGGTCGAAGCCGTGCCATGTGTTATCACCCATCGGTGACATAGGGGGAGGTCCCCCACGGATAACTTCTGTAGCAAAATCAGTGGGTAAATGCGTCGCGCCCACGAGAAATGCACCCAGATTTACCCCCAGAGCATTGCTTGGTGGGCCGGCGTGTACAAGAGTAGGAGAACTGGGGATAAGGCCTGACGTTTTGTAGATTCCGCTGCTCTTTGGCGAAAAGTCGTTTTCAGTTGTGCCCCCCAAAACAGGCGATCGTACATCGGCGGCACACCACCGTCGCTCGCACGCCGCTCTGTAGCCAGCCGGCAGCCGCCCGGCGCTCGTCACAAGAAAAGTTTCCTCGGATCCATGCACGCATCAACTTTCAAGCAAGACTTGTTGCTGAAACGACGACGGGCTTTCTGCAAAATTTGACACAAGTTCTTGTGGAAACCTTAGTCTCAGCTAGCTGCTGAACTTGATTTCACAATTCACAGCCGAGTTTGCTCTTAACCATGGCAATTTTGAGGCTCTTTGTGCCGTGTACTGGAACATGCGCAGCAGAGCATGTGCGCAACTGTGTACCGAAGTGACGTGCGAGCGAGTCGTCAACCTCGGTTGCATGCTTGCGGCCATGGCCCTACAGTCTACAGAGGCAGGGGCACGCAAATTAAAACGGAAATCGGGGCTGGACCCGTCGACCTGGCGGATGGTCCTGATGCGTCATGCGGTTGCACGGTACCACCACGACGTTCGTAACAAGAATTTGCTGGGTGGGAGACGCGCGCCCGTACTTACCCTTTGCATCCTAGTATGACCGATTCGATCGGATTAGCCCATGCGCAAGCGAATCAGCGGCGGCGAAAGCGCCACCACACCTAATTAAGCGCTTGCAGATTTGTCATCTGCCATATCGCACCCAGAGGCACATGACATCGACCAGCGTACTCACCAACCGTTGCCGTTTCTCCTCGCGAACGAGCATCGTAGGCGAATTTCGGGCTGCAGCAGGTAGCAGAGCTTTACAGTAATGCAGTGTAGGAGTACGTTTGCCACTTGCTGGAATTCTTTTAGACATTGACTAAGCAATGAAATGGACTATGAACGCGGCGCCTTTTCTTTTCTCTTTTTTTTTTTAAAAAAAAACTCTTTTTTTGGTTGGAGTATCAGGCGTAGGGTGATGTGCCGAACAGTATTTGGTATTTCTTTCTTCCCATCTTCTCCCGTGCGATTTATATCTTCTAAAAATACACTCCTTCCGTCCTAAAATAAGTGTAATTTTACACTATTCACGTTCAACATTTGACCGTTCGTCTTATTTGAATTTTTTTTAGATTAATATTTTTATTGCTATTAGATGATAAAACATGAATAATACTTTATGTGTGACTAAATATTTTTAAATTTTTTAAATAAGACGGACGGTCAAATATTAGACACGAATATTTACGGCTGTACTTATTTTGGGACGGAGTTAGTACAGAGTTGGGACTCGGATAGCGAGTCGGAAGATGCTCCTGTCTGGATCAATAGTACAAAACATGGTCCCGGAATTGCGTGCTACACGGTCAGATAAATGGTCCTAGCAGGCTCGGTCAGTTGCAGCTTGCTTTCTTTAAACCGGTTGAATTCACCCAGATACTTCTCATTTTCAATCATTGCAAGCCAACTGACTTTGTAAAACTCTTGGTTTTAAAATTTGCGGAGAAAATCCTTTGCTATACCGATGATCTCAATTACTTACTTAGTATTTGCAAGTTGTAATTTGACTAAAACAACCAGCCATCACTTCTTGTGACGGTGAATTGTGCTCCAAACAAGAGTTAGAAAGAAAGGAGAAAAAAAAAAGGAGAAGTAACGATCAGAACTGTACTACTGATAGGAATGCAAGTGGATAGTTGCGTTAACCATATAAAAACTTATTTGCTAGTTTATTTTTCATATGGTAGTATAAAATTTAAAAGAAAAAATAAACTAGAAGTAGGATAAACGGGCTAAAAAACCCGCCTGCCCGCATCGCTTATATTTCTAACTATCTCTAACTACTGAGCGTGTCACCCACGGAAAATTACAGTACTTTTGGCATGGTTGGAACTGGAAATATATGAACCAACCGATAGAAAGAGATATATGTGATTGGTGCAACAAAACTATATTTTTTATAATGGCAAAACTAGAGTTGGATACTTGGATATCATGGTTTTCTAGAAATTACACATGTGTGCAATTATTTCTAAAAAATGCATAAATCCACGTGCAGAAAATCATTCCGACCAAGATCTAGTCAAATGCAAAGAAAAAATGCAAAGAAAACGGATCCACTGAAACATAAAAAACAATCTAATAGGAGTAGGATATAGCTACCATAGTGAAAAAGCTAGACCGTCCATGAAATTGGTGAAGCTCATAGTTCACCAGCTCACCGGTAGGGTTTCCTAAACCGCCGAGGTCGGGGTTACCACACCCCGGCGGTAAGTACGGCAGGGTTCGACTTACCGTCAGTAACCTTGCAGTTACCGGGTTTACCGTGGGGGTACGGTAATATAAATACCGCGGTAACCTCCTTAAATTTAAATAAATTTAAAAAATAATTTAAATTATTGATAAATTTTGCACGGTTTTTTACGGTTACCACGGTTATTGCGCGGTAGTCACCGGTCGTGCGGTTCGATCGAAGAACCGATGCATTTATTTGGTGTGAATATTCTTTGTTAAATTGTTAGCCATGGTGCAAAAGCCATTTAGCTCGCTTAGACGGTGAGCTGGTAGCTAAGCAACCATGATTCAATTCCCTCGCACACTTTCTTTTTCATTTATTTGGTAAAATTGACGCACGTGTAACTTGAGCCTAGTAGTCTTTCTAGCGTAATCCATGTGCTCGCTAGAACCGTCGAAAGCAAACCAGAGTTGGTTCCGGTTCAACCGCATAGCCATTGGTCTTGGTCGGTACGGTCAATTTCCCATTTCCCTAGTGACCCTGAGTGGCCGTTGAGCTTATTGGCAAAAGCAAATGCAATTTTTGCATTATTTTAGGAATCGAAAACGCCGTTTTCTTGAAAAGCAGTTTAATATTGTTAGACTTGCATAGACTAATTTTTAATCCAAATATATCACATGAGTAGTAATCACTGGTTTGAAACATATACATTTCGGCCTCCTTGGAATGTACGAAAATTTTCCAATTCGAATCCGTTTCAAAATAAAGCAACTTCTGCATTCGTAATTTATCATAGATATAACACATTTTTCGAACTACTCCGATCTTAACAAATCACAATCATCATTTATTCAATTTCTCTATCTCTACCTACTCACCGAAATCAATCATAATTATCTCTTATTTAATTTCACCTCTTATTGATTCTATAATTACTTATATCTAAATTATAAAAATAAAGGGAGTTCTTTGCAAGAACTAACTATCCAATTTTTTCTCATTCAAATATAGCAGATGCAACACGCGCGGGTGTTAATTGGCCTAACGTCCTAAACTGGACAACGCGCATTGGGGCGTGTGTTGTGCAAGTTTTAACTAAGAGCAGGTACAACTATTAGCTAGCTGTAAACATATTTTAATGAGATAAAGAATGAGAGAGAAGATCAGCGGGCTACAGATCTGTAGCCAACTGCAACGCGGACTCCAAGACGCAGTGTGTGTATGACAGGTGGGATCATATATTAATAGAATAGTAAGCAACTATTGTGTGAATTAACTATTAGATTGGCTATATATGAATTAGAGTTAGCAGTGACTATCTCTTGTAACGAATTCCACGCGCATTCTCGGCCGATTAGCCCCGCCATGTGGCTGTGTGCGATTCGAGGGTCTAGTTCGCGTGCGCGTCCGTTGGATTAGGAATCAACGGCAGAGATGATGCAAGGGAGTTTAGCGCGATTCGCGAACCGTCTCCGGCCGTCCGGCGTCGGCCACCGCCGCTCCCGTCCCTCGTCGATCCCTCTGTGCCTCCCCGGCCCCTCGCCGATCCCCATCCCTAAAAACCCTAGCCCACAGTGCCGCCATCGTCACTTCAGCTCTCCTGCTCGTTCGCATCTCGGTAGCCGAGCGTCGCCACCTCCTCCGATCCTTGCCCCTTTGCTGCCCATCGACCTCCCTCCTTGCCGATGCGCTGGACCCGATGGGCCGCGGTCGAGCTTGCTGGCGCAGCGCTCGAGTTGTACGTCCCACCTCCGCTCCAGTTCGCCCCCTCCACATGTAAGTGCGCTACCTCCTCCTCCTCCTCGGCGAGCTAGCGGATTTGGTTCGGATTGCCATGGCCTGACACAAGTTTTGCACGGTGTGGGTGGGGTGGCAGAGAAGCAGGGGAGCAGGTGCCGGCGACGCGGATGGCATGAGAGGAGACGGAGGCGTACGCGCGGGACTGGCCGGCAGTGGTAAGCAAGCTACAGTCTATAGTCTGATATTTGTTCCATTTATTTCCCTGGACATGAAGGATGTGTGGTTGCTGATTTGCAACGCAAACTGTGCATTCATGGTGTTCGATGAAATGACCAAAAAAGAGTATATTTCCTTATTTCTTAGAGTTGCAGTTGATTAGCACTCAGTTAGGAATATTTTGTTGGATAGTATATTAATTGCTCTATTGCTACTACCACTTCTGCAGAAATCCAGGAGAAACACGACTTGAAATTGCAAATTTTGATGCTAATTAAGTTGTCATGTGAAACTCTATATGGATTATTAATCTGTTAACTTATGCATTACTGATTCCATCATAGCAGCAATCGAATTATACATGAGTTAGAGATATTAGTGTATATACAATTAGCATAATCTGGAATAGAAATAGTAATAAGCTAAAAAAACATAATCAGGAATGGTTCTTGACAAAACTCAAGTTTGTTTTTTTTTTATTTCTGAATACCCTTTCTAATAGCACTTATAATCATGAAAATGATCCTGCACTGCAGCACTGGTACATACTTTTTTTTTCTTTGGTCTCAATCCTGCACAATAGTTTCTTTACAGAGTTTTCCTCCTGACAAACGAAAATAAATCTATAAAAGTGGCACAATTTAGACATTTGCATCATAATTGGTTAGTGCCCTAATTGCAAGTGTTCTACTCAAGGGAACATCCTGAGTATTAACTTAAGAAATTCTGAAGTTGCGATCGATTGCAACTGTACATGGTGACCACATTCTTAAGTTAATACATCATGAGTTTGTTATATTTCTTTCCACTTCTCTAAATGTATAAAAAATATAGTGTTCTCTGAACATGCTTTTTTTGCAGTTATCTGACAAATATATAGAGATGTAATGTTTTCTGAAGACATTTGTTTCTCTGTTTTGTTGGGTGGATGTTATCACTTTGATGGGCCTATCAACAAGTTATTTCATTATCATTTGAATGCACCTATAATAAAAACTAACAATTGGCAAACAACAGTTTTCCTTCAGAACTGGGGATTGTTGTTTCATTCTAAAAATAAAAATAGTCATAGTCTCTTATAGCTTTTGCTGCTTTGCCACTAGCCCACCAGGACGATCTGGCTTTGCAATGCTTATGTCTCTTGCTCTTGATCTCCTTCTATCAGTCACTCTAGGTGCAGCTAATTTCTGTTCGTCTCCTGACATTTCTAGGGATGCAAGATATCGAAGATGAAAATTGCTGCCGCGTGCTCGAAATCATCACCTCCGGCATTTAAATGTGTGAAAGACTGGTTCTTAAATTTATTTTTGCTTTCACTGTAACTACATTGTTGTGCTTCTTCTTTGTTCCATAGCTAGAAGCTAGACTGGAAACAACTGTGGCTGTTTCAGGCTTTTTTTTTATCTTGGTGAATTAATGTAAATATATTTAGTTATGGTTATATCCGGTTTTCGATGGTTTGTTCTTACAGGGCAATAGTTACTATTTTTAGCAGGAGTGCCATAGGAGCTAATTTAGCTAAACTTGTTGCATCAGTTAATAACACCATCGAATATTTCATTTGCCAACCTTTTATAAACCTGAATTTTGAAAACCAATTGGAAAATATACACAGGCTATAATGAGCAGAGGCGCGCTAATTTTCTAGTACTATTAAACTTGCTCTAAAATCTGCTGGCACACAGTACAGGCTACAGCAACACAGCATGCAGCAAGCACCACGCAATTAGTGAATAAACAAGGACGTGCAAAAGGGAACTAGCCGAAGCAGCTTGATTTGTTGACAGCGAAAATCCTATCATATATGGGTAGATGTATTAGGTGTCAAGTAGCATCCAAGTGTACAGCCCGAGCTGTGAGTTGCCACCTAATCTTTTATAACAACTTTTTGTAGGCTAAGCTTAGTCTTATCGCGAGAAATCTACTTAGCTCAATCAGAAGCATAGGTCGTTGTCCAAGTATATCGACAATGTAATTTATCCCCACTATCACTAATTAAACAGAAAATCGTGGGCTTTAATTATGAAGTTGAAGCAGCAGCCCGAGACCAGCCGTTCAAGAGATCGGTATTGACGGAGTGAGACAGCTCGCAAGGATTAGATTAGCTGAAGAGTAGGCATCGATTGTACGTACGTATCTCTGCTTGTCTGACCGAACGTGTACTTGCCATTGTTCCCTGACACTTTTCAGCTTTCAGGTAGAGATGTCGATGCAGATTCTCTGGCCAAGATTATTTGTTAATGATGCATGGGTTGTTGACCACCCTGAAGACCTGTGCAAAATATGGTCTTTGGTGTCTGATGCACATATAATTAATACTGATCATGCAATCCATATTCCGTGGCGTGATGCGTTTGTTTCGTAGCTGGTCGTACCGTGCAATGCGCTGCAGTATGTGGAAACTGTCGGCCCGCACGTACAAAGCGCTACGTTTCAGGAATCATACGAAGCCCTTTTTCCCCATTCTTTTATTTATCAGTTGGACACTTGGAGTCCAGATTTGGTGAACCCAATAAACCACATGGATGCGTGCTATCCATCTCAAAGTTTAAAATTTGCTTTAAGTTCCCTGGTCAAGTTCAATTTGCCCTGTGATCTTGTCTGCAGGTAGGTTTCTGCCATCCGGTACTAAAAACTGTATTTATCACAGTAACCTAGCTAGCTCCAGATCGCTAACAGCTAATCAGTATCTTTCAGCCATGGCAGGGACCAGAATGCTCGCGCTCGTGCAGCCTTGCAGATGCTCATGCTCCCCGACTTACCAGTACGTACTCCATACATTATTTGACCGAGGAATGATGAAGCGGTTCAGATCGATCCGATCCATTTTTTCCATCCACGAAAAAAAAAAAGGGAAGAGCACACGCTAATCCATTTAGGATGTCAATGGATCGGATCGGACACGAGCATAAAAGGAACACGGCTGATCAAAGACCCAACATCTTTAATCCACGTTTGATATTCTTGAGGGGCAAAATCAGTGCCCATGCCCGACAGTCAGGCAGCCGATGGGTAATTAGTGAGCTTCTTTATAACTTGAGTTATATTTTTTATAGATAATTAAACAGAAAGGAACACGATTAATAACAAGCTAGAAACACAAAACTAGCTCATATACACGCGGATAGAGACTAAGAATGTAAGAACATATAAGAAGCACAAGACTACCTGCACCTTTAATTGATATAGATAGTACTGTACTAGGATGATGCACGATAGATGATCAGATAGCTCAATTAATTAGTAGAGTATAGAACTGAAAATCCTTTTATCACTCGTTCAAATATGGTTCCTGGCACAAAAAAAAAAAGAACCGAATAGGTATTACTCTAGATGGACTCAAAATAATTTGGCGAAGTGTTTGTTTCAAAACGGAAAGTGGTCGTCTGCTCTGCCAAACTCCGTCAAGGAAGGAGAGAGATAGGTGAGGGGAGAGAGGGAGGGGGGGGGGGGATAATTGAGGGCAAATCCAGCTAGAATTCCATTTTCACATGAGCTGTGAGTAAATGGGCCAAAATTAGTACAAATTAATATCGAATCAGGTTTAGATTAGCCATGGGCAAAATAAATGCCCATACACATCCGCTATGATTTCAGGGCAAGGTTGGGTGTGTCCAGAAAAAAAGGTAAATTGTATTTTGGATCATCGTTTTATTACTAAAGTTAATATACTCCATCAGACTTGGACACGGGTAGTGCATTGTTGTTTTTTCAACTATGCTAAGGTCAAATCTCCAACGCAAATATTTAGTCGTTATTTTTTAACTGTATATTGATAAGAATGTTAAGATGTAACGGATTTTTATGATAAATCTACTAATACTATTTTTTTATATATCAGATTATATTTCATTAGAGTTAAGATGTTGAATTTTAACGGTGATAATTCCAAAATGCACCTATCTAACAACATACCGTAGTAGGAGAAAGTAGTCTTCGGAAAAATAATGAAGAAAGTAACAACCGATCGCGCTGATTGCACCTTTTAGGCCTCCTTTGATTCATAGGAAAAAATGGAGGAAAAACATAGGAACAAGAATCCTATGGGATTTGGTACTGTTCATCCATTTGATTTGTAGGAATTGAAGATAGGAAAAGCATGGGAAAATTTCCTATAACCATGATTTCAAGGGAATTCCATAGGAAAATTAACATCCACCTTGAGCTCATTTTTCTTCTCCTATGTGTAGGATCGAGGCAAAACACTATTGGAAGATAAGGTTTACCCTAGTAAAACCATTCAAATTTTGATTGCTATTAACTTAATACTCAACATTCCTATGTTTTTCCTTTGTACCAATCAAACGATCATTCCTATAATTTTCATATGTTTTTCAATCCTCTGTTTTGCATATGATTTCCTACACTATTCTTGAGTTTTTCCTATTCCTACGTTCACTGAATCGAACCATTCCACAAGAGCATCTGGTACATGTCTCTGCAAACTAGCACTGTCCATGACAACAACCTGTGCTGTGCGTGCATGGATCTCCCCAGAAAAAAAGAAAGAAAGAAAAGAAGCCCCTGCCCGCGGTATCAGGTCCAGCAGGGCTGATCGGAATCAGCGGCTGGGTTTCACATTCATGGTTTCATTTCGTTCATCTGCCTGAAAGAATGCCAGGAAAGTGAGAGCAGCATGTGGGCTGATGTGGCCGAAGGCAGATGCAACAGGACTACAGGAGGGCGTACATGTGGTCTATCACCTCAGTCCTCATAGAGGAAACCATTGGTGCATACTCCTCCAGAGTCCAGACCTGAGTACACAGGTGTACCGCGCGCCGCGCGCGCGCGTGGTGGCACCCAGGCCGGCACGACCGCACAGGCGCACAGCGCGAGCCACGCCATCATGGCTGCGAGCAGTCGAGCACCAACGACGTGAGGGTACGAGAGTACGTGAGACGATCGCCCACGACAGCTGCGCCCCAACGATAAACGGGCCCTACCGGCCTACCGGTGCTCGCGGCCGCGGAGCAGGGAGGTGGCTGCCGAGGCGGGCTGCGGACCGTACGCGGGTAACGCGCGCAAGGCTGCGCTTGCAACTGTGTCTGTGGCTGACCGAGGTCAAGGAGATGGGCCTGGGCTAAGAAGCATGGGCTTACAGAAGTGATACCGACCTGGGCTGCGTGAGTCGTGTACATTGGGGGGGGGGGGGGGGGGGGGGGACTGCTGGGAGTCTCTTTCGGTTGGTTGCTGCAGCTGCTGTCCCGCGCACAGTTCAGTACGAGGTGCATCTGAACAGAGGTTCACGCGGAGTGTCACGAGACCGATCATGGAATCAGTGGTCTGTTAATTTCTTTTGAAATTCACGATTTTTCTCTCCTTCGTATGGAATATCCGGTTTTACTAAGGGCTTCCACGTAAAATATCAGCTCAGAGATACTGTTCATGAGGGACCGAGATCAAATTACGGATAAATCGGAGGACTTTTTCGTAAAATTTCCAACCCTAACATTGTTCCTATCCTACGTGGCATCGCCCAGGAGTCGCCCCATGCGCACCCCATTTTGTTCTGTAATAGCACAGTATGGAGTCGCGACGTGGTCAGGCTACGGTTGGGACAATAGATTAAATGGTTTTCAATTCATATGCCTTTTAACAAGAAAAATGCATTCCATATATCCAACTTCAGGGGGAAAAACAATGATATACCAATACTTGCACATTTTCGATTACATAAAAAGAAGTACACCACATACACAACATTGTTTACAAATAATTCAAAAAAGTCCCGGGAATTAAACAGATTGTGGAGATGAAATTGTGGATGCATGCACCCCATCCATCAGCGTTGAAATCCTGGTGGCCATAATACACTCACATGGATGCATTTTTAATACAAAATTTTTTATTTATAGTTGGCTTTCTGTTTGTTTTTGTTTTAGAGGATGTATTCACACATGTGTGGGCATAATGGTGTGCACACGCGTACACGTCTTCTGTATAATAGTGATACATTGATGATAATATTTAGAGGTGACAATTTTCCTTTGAAATTAGATACCCATCGTGTCCCCATATGGGGTGGGGTGAGTTTCCCACTTGCAGGTACATGGGGTTGAATGGTGTGTTCCACCCACACGTGACTCATGGGCCCTAAAATTATTCAAGACAGGAGATAATGTTTACAATTAAAAAAGGCCATCAACCCATTAAGCGAATTCCAACATGCTATTATTATCAGTATCATTATGCCTAAATCCCATACTCGTCATCGTACATTACTAACTACTTGGCTTCCTCGTACCCTGACAAGTTGCAGTCGGTATGTTCTTGAGGCCTCTATCCCATGATATCCTCTCCCCATTCTGATGTAGCAATATCAGCAGCTGGTGTGTGCTCCTTCAACATTATATCCGCCTTTATCTTCTCTTCTTCCATCCCAATGTCGTGGCGGTCGACGCTCCCCCAATACGACAACCGGTCTCTACCTTCTTCTTGGTAAAGTAATGCCCCGATAGCAGCTAGCCTTG